TTCTTACATAATATTGTAACGAAAAATTTTGATTGTACAAAATTTATATTACATTTAAGATATTAAAACTGCAAATGCTTCATAAAATTATATCGCGAATGTCTGAAGTAAAAATAAGTCTGTGAAGTAAGAAACTTTATCTATATTTAGTAACACAGTTCATGAACGGACAACGAACTTCTGCTAGAATACAAGTGCTTTGACAGTAAAAAATAAATGTAGGTATTATTGCACTTTAAGGTTAAATTTGTAACATAACGAGCTCGTTATTTATTTATTTAAATATTTTATGTATATTACTCTGTTTACCGGTGGCAATCGTATGAAAATCCTTTCAATTGTTATCGAGTTCATCACGTTCGTATAGTCAAACACGCCAGGAAGACTGCTGTGATATGCAATTAGAAGCCATTAAAAAGATAAGTGAATTAAATAATATAACAAACATTACTCGGCCCTGCGAATTCGAATTCACTCATGTGTTCACATTATTTGGTGTAGAAATTTTATTGATTCCATTTTTTGTATAAAAATACACAACAAAATTGACCGATTATACGTGTCTCAGATGTTCAATTCCTATGTCATTTCGAAACTCACTTCACTTGTGTCACAAAACGTTATTACCGATTCAAGGTTGAGCGGATGCCGGTTTTCGAAGAGAATTTGGATACCTGAGTGAATTCGAATTTGGGTTTGGATTTTAATAGAATCGCACGGCAGATCAAAAAATTCTAACCTGTCAGTATTTTGTGATCGAAAAGGTGAATATATATCAAAATACAATATCTCACCACTGCGTCAAATCCACGAATTATAATAATAATTAAATATTTCATTGACAAATAAAAATAATCACTACATATTAATTAGTATTTTTAAAAATGCTAATTTGTGAATTAAAAAGGAATCCGTTAATAGACATAAAAAGGTTGAATATCTTTTTCTGCGGTGTCAGTTTCGTTCTCATGGTTCAATACAGTTGTGAAGCACATCACAGGTAAATTTTCAACAATAGGTCTGTCAAATATACCCAAGTACGTAGGCAAAAAAAAACCGGTTAAAAACACGTGGTGCGCGTGAGTAAATTACCGATAAGAATTCAATCGTTGTCACCTCTATTTTATTTTAAAGAAACAGATAAAAAACGGACAGTGCTAAAAATAGATTATAACTTATCATAGGCGAGTTTGATTGCTTTAGCGTCGATTTTTAATCGGCATTTTTGTTATAGTAAAATATACTGTTATATGCAATAGTTTTAAAGAAATAAGGCGCCAATTTCTTTTTCTCGGTACTTTATCAACATTTTCATTTAAACTCTTTCAGTGATTTTTCCTAATCTTGACGATAACTTTATTCGGGTGATGAGCCTTTTAATTTGGAAACTACTAAATTTTGACTTTGTCTTTGATTTTCTTTTATCTTTTAAATATTTAATAGCATCTAGTTCACGCAAACAAACAAACAATTAAATCTCTCTCCTCTTCATCTTTATGATAATATGGGGATAATAGCGCCATGTTTACGGTTCGGTATAAATCTGGCAGACCATTCGTCAAGCATCTCACGAAAGTATACGTTAGTACCCAAAGGATGGTCCGTTGAGTGTGTAAGATTCAGTATTTTCTAATGGAAAGTGACTTCATATTCTAATGAAGTCACTTTTCAATAAGACTTCTCTGTGTGAAATAAAACAGGGAGAAAAAAACAGCCCTTGCTGAGTTTCTTGCCGGTTCTTGTCAGTACAAGGTCTCCCGCCGTAGTTTTGCGAACCGATGGCGTAGTTTTCGACTTTCACAAGTGCTCTGTAAAAGCGTAAACTGAATAAATAAATTTTGATTTGATTTATTATTTCATATATATGTTCGTTTTTACGTTCTGCGACCAACAATTGCCGTACTGCCAAACCAGTAATTAACGTATCTTCTGGCATGACATATATACATACGTCAAGTCACAAGTTAACGTGAGCTGGCGAACTATTTCAAACAACTTTCCTCAATACATAATTCAAAATCTATTTAAAATGTTCACACCAAATTAGGTTTATATATTGAAACCTCCAAGATGAACTATTACCCCAAATATCATAAACATATTCGCATTAAAAGTCAAACTTCGAGGTGATGGAGATTTTAAGTTGTTTGCTTTATTTTTACTAAAGATTCCAGTGTCGGGCAAACCTAGGCTGGGATAGACAAGTCTCTCCCCCCAATCCCCGCCCACAGGCTGTACTTATTAGTCTATGGGACCTCCAAGACGAATTTACGATTTGATCAAGGGAATTTGCAGCCATTTGGAGGCTCCATTTGGAGGTTCCCTTAGGACCCGAGGCCCGAAGCGGACCACCCCCTGCCCCCTAAGTCCGCCACTGAAAGAATGTTAAACGATTTTATAAATAAATAAATTTCATGGTTGTTTACTAAACTTAGCTCTGATTTACATTTCAATACTTTTTTCGGTGAACCCGACAATCCCACTATTGAACTTGGTTGTCAATTTTACATTTATATGTTTGGTGAGATTATATCCATAGTACTCACATACTTGAGCTCGGTGGCATAGTGGATTAACGTAACGGCCCGCGATTTTTGTTATTGGGCAACTTTCGCAAGGGTTGGTTCGTGCTTCGACAGGCACGTTTGCAGTCGTTAATACCTTATAATCCGCATTGGGCAAAGCATGGAGGATCATGACCGTCCTCCTTAACCATCCATAAGGAAGGCCTGAGTCTCTGCAGTGGGGACGTGAAAAGGGCTGATGATGATGACTAATATACTTGAATACAAAATAACTTGAAAATTAATACGTAAATAACTTGAAAATTAATCTTAATATAATTAATTTGTACAATTTTTTAAGAGTGACGCATATTCGTCATACATGGGAATATGATTCTACTGAATAATGCAGAGTCTCACACTGTCTATTGTTTTATAACTCGCTTGGTCGTTGCTCTTCACTTGAACTGAGTGCAAGTGTTTATTTATAAAAAAAATAAAAAATATAAAATATGATAATTACAATAAATTTTCATCTTAATCGTAATTTTAAAATATTTAATAATTTGGGTTTGCTTGAACATTGACGAAAATACGCTCACTAGTAGCGAAAAGTAATAGGTGCTTAAAAAAATAATCAGTTCTGTTAGGTTGTGGGTGGCTCAGCGGTTAGAGCAGTCGCCCAGATCGCGAAAGGTCGTAGATTCAAGTCCCATCTCAGAGTTTTTAAAGCATTTTACATTAAGAATATTTTTCAGTGTAGCATTGTGAATGCAATATTATACATATATATCAATGCAAATTAAAAAAGACCATTGTTCTTAGTTTGATATTGATTGAAACTCGATGCTATGACACCGTTGCGTTCGACGACGATTTCGAGGTTGTTTTTGTAACTGAAAATTTTGTTGAACCTCATGTACTGTTCACTGTACTTATATTTTTCCAAATCCAAATGTAAAATATATTTTACCTGTAAATATGGCTTTTTATATATTGCGTCATCTCATAATTTGTTTATATAAATTTATTGCCTTCTTTGCATTTCATTGCATTAAAGAATTTATATTAAGCTGATAGAGCAATATGTGATGTCTTGGTATTTGATCTTGTGTGCCGTAGATCATTCCTGTGTTAATTTTAATAAGAAATATGTACAGTCGACAACACGAAAAAACGTCAATGTTTTTCAATCCTTAACAAACTTGGTAGACTAATCAGTTGGCCTGTCTTTCAGACCATACTTGATTGTTTTGTTGTCAGCTTATCAGTCGGCCTGGCAAACTATTTAGATCAATCAGGACTTCATTCATGCAGTAGAGCCGCGGCGCTGGTCAATGTGGAAAATGAACTATATAGATGTTGTCCCGGGTCTAAGTGTTGTGGTACCTTCTTTGTTTTGGATTTCTCGGTCACCCATCCTACGACTAGTCCTTTAACAATTGTAGCGCAGACCGAGCGAGCAAACCAGTCCGCCATCGAATTAATAATCAAAATTAGCTATAAATATTTTCACGCCGAGTTCATATAAACAAATTTTGAAAAATCAATTAAAATCTTTAATAATTTATTGAGAAGCTAAACATGAATAAAATTGTAATTAGACAAGGTTGGCATTATATTCATTGTGACGTCATAACCGTAAGCATCGCACGTGTGCGACAAGGACAGATGGTGTATCCATTCATACCCCATCACTTTATATAAAAGGCAAATAATACGAAAATTCCTAAGTCATTTGGAAGAAATCGTTCGATTTTATTGTTGATAATATTATAAGCCTTTTATTTGAACTAACACCTAGTTGCACAAATGATCATTAAGGTTTAATGACGACTTTGAACTGTAATTAATAGTCTAATTTTCAAAATTCGTATCGGTAATTTATCTTTAATCGGTAATATATATTTAAACACGAATAGAAAATAATCTTTAAAATAAGAAAGAGATCTTTTATGTGTTTTGTATCACTATTTAAGAATGCATTATGTCTTTTATTTAATTATCTCAAACACCAAACTGATTGAATAAAAGAAGTTTTCAAAGCAAAGTGAATAATTTATTTTTTAATGAGGAAAAAAAACAATGTTCTACAGAGTCTAAGTATATATTATTTATTCTAAAAAACAATCTTAAAAAATAAAATAAAACACATATTTTATTTATTTTTGCAGAAATAAATTCTAGAAAGAAACGCTAACGAATGGCATTCTTATTTCATGTGTGGATTCTACATCATGAAAACATCGATTCATCATCGATTCAAGTTCACAAATCGTCCATAAAATATATGGAATGTTATCAACTTACTGACCATGGTATATGGAAGCGTGTAACCAATTCTGTTGACATAGCGCATGCGTTTCAGTGTTCACGATCATGTTAACGTTTTCAAAGAACAATCTTATAGCAACGAACACGACTTATTCATCTATCACAAAAAATTACAATACATTTAATAAAAAAAAAATGCAAAATGTAAAGACTCGTACTCACTCAGACACGCTCCGCTAATTAAATCTTTACACCATGACCCAAATCCCAATTCACGAAAGCACTGTCAGTTACTAACAGTTCATGTGTGCAGTTCGCTTTATTATCACGTAATATTCTTTATTTGAATGTTCATTAAATTTTCTATTTGACACGGATTCAAATTCGTATTTCGAACGCGAGACCGGCCGGTGTGCGTGCAACCGGTTCGTAAATCGAACGATGTCTACTAAATACACAGATGTATCGGTCGTCGGTGCGCGGCGTGGAACTACAGTGGAACGTCATATTTATCGCGCCACGCGCGTACGCTGAATCGGAACTCTATATGTGACTATCGCTCATCCCCAATACATGTCTGCTCAAGTAAGCGATTGCGTGTACCGGTGATTTTATGTCTATTAAGGATGGTGTCCATACTTAGACAAGTTGTACTTAGGTGACGTTGTTAGAGCAGAAAAGAGTTATATATCCGACATGGTGACAGTAGTCGCTAGTGGGAGCTAGTTCGGAGTGGTTAAGCGGCAATGGATACAATGAAAACGTTAATAATACATGTTGACGATATGAATACCGTTCGGTAGTGAAGGAATGCACCATCTGTCGCGTTGTCTCGTGCATTTTGTTTCGAATCTATGACGGGGTTGACACGCATAGAGACAGGGAAGGTTCATAAATAGCTTCACTGAAGTTGCTAAGGGTAACGACCCAAGGTTAGCATGTGTCACTTGCATATTTTTTTTTTCTATATTATTTTTTATTTTATTAGTCCTATATGTTTAGTATTAAAAAGGAGAGAAACTGATAAGAAATCACGATTAGTAAATTTATGATTTGACTTAATCAGTACCTTCAAACAATTTTACAATTTGTGAAATGAAGTAGAGCTTTATTTGCTCAAAATCAACTGAAAGAGAAGTGAGTTTTTAATTTTAAAATTAATTGTGCAGTAGCTTACGCTAGCTAAGCTTATTTTATACATAAAAGCTATTCTGTAAAAAATAAGCGTTGAACTCAAACGTCGAGCACAGCATAAAGGTTAAAAGAAATAAAACCTACTTTAAAGGGTAATAAACGTTTTATTTCATTGTGACTCTATAATGTGACAGCGCTGTGCTCGAGCTAAGTTCGACGCAGATTTTGTTTGATATAGTTGGTATCAATAAGTAATTACTTTTAAAAGTCGCGTTCATAAACAAAATACCTTTATTAGAACACTAAATATTATTTTACTGTTCAATAAATGTATCTGGTTCTCCATAAAATATAAAACTGTTTATAATTGTGTTCATAACAAAACCCCAAAATTTCTATAGCAATGAGATCATGTCCTTACTTCCAAGATGGTAAAAAGTTATCGAACAAAACGGTACTTACATAGTTTAGTAACATGTAAAAAAAATATTAAAAATTGTTATGAATTTTGATATATATCAAATTATGTAATAGCAGAACCATTTAGTAGATATTTTTGAAACAATATTATGGTAAATATATTATTTCTAGTTTCAAAACAATTGTTTTGTGGTAAATTCCCAGTTCTTTGGCTACGTTATAAAAACTGATCTGCAGATCTAGTTTCACTTTTTTTCAAAAATGGCATCCATTTTATCTGTACCAGGGCGTATGGGGTTCCGGACTGAAAACTTTTTCCCCAACATAATAGATTATGTTATGAATAGTTTTAAATTTGATTTGTCATTTTTTTAATGTACACAAATAGATATAACAAAGCGATGGTTATTCAGTATTATTATAACATCAACATTATCCTGTTATTTAGTAATATAATTCTATTGTTAATAATAACCCAGTAATTTATACTATTTAACATTATAAACAGGTAAAGTTACTCACTTTGTTTTATAACGGGCAATCTTCAAATATACTGACCCCATCATAAAAATTCTTTCAACTACTGGAAGCTTCATCTAGTGTTGCCAACCGTACTTTAATAAATATTATTATAGTATGTTCAGGTCCTCCGTGCTATATACTGTATAATAAATATGTAGTACGCGAAAATACTATATTCTCAGCACTGAAATGTATAAAATAAATTCTTCTTTTATGAAGGCTCCTAATGCAAATACTTCTGATTAAAGCGACAGCTTAGGTAGATAGCTTATTGAAAAAGTGAATACGTAACCAATATTATAAACACGCAAGTAACTCTGTCAGTAACCCCTTTATATCTAATTTTAATGAAATTTGGTACAGAGATAGAGTATATCTTGGGAAAGGACATAGATTACCTTTTGTTACGAAAAATGGTTGAAAATTATATAAACCGTGAAACTTTTTAGGAAATTTATAACATATATTTATTTTAGCGTTTTTAGATTGGCTGCTCAAAGCAACTATATTACGTGGGCAATAAAAAGAGGTAGTCATGGGAAATATTAAGTTCAGTATACGGTAGATACATTCATCGTCTAACCCTGTATTAACTTACTTGTTTTTAATGCCGTAAACCAGGGATACTATCTCCTAACTCTCTAGCTATCACTCTATAAGACAGCCTAGCGATGTATGGCATTTATTTCGTTAAATACTACATTAAGTTTTGTTTGTTTTTAAAGTATCTGCAATTTACAATTAATTTAGCGTCTTATTATAAAACGAGCCGACCAAAATAATGCAACACGTATCAATTGGATGCTATCTCTTCGATCATTGTCAATTTTCTTTATTTATTTATTTTATCTTAATTAACTAGTGAAATGGACGAATGGCGGACTTAATGCCAAAGAGGCATTCTCTACCAGTCAACCACTAAACTTAATACAAAGCTTAAAGTGGCGACATACATCATAAATGTAGATATGTACATTGCGCTATTGATATCCCTACATAAGAACTATATATAAAACCATACACAATAACAGATATACACATACATAAATAAATGCATATTAGGCGGCCAATGATTTGAACTAAGAACTAACTTTAGTCCTCGTCCTCGTTTTATTATAAGCAGATAATGTTCCCAACTTTTGATGATATTTATAAAATACATTTTCGTCCATACGCTAACTTCATTAGATATTATAGATTTTACTTACTATAGATTTAATTTTATTTTACCGCGTTTGGGCGATGATTCTTTAGTTATTTGGGTCCATTTGTTTCCAATAAGTTGAATAAAATATTAAATATCTATCCCTTATCTAAAATTGAATTCAGAAGAAAAGTATCTAGTTAGATACTTTTCTTCTGAAGCCAGTTGGCTACAGACACATTCATATGAGGAAACCGAGAACCTAATTATTTCGGTGCTATTACGTTAGTAACTTATGTACCTTTATCCATTATCTTTCACACTAACACACGCTCGCAAACACATACACAAACACATGCATGCACAATAAGCACATACTTTCAGTTATGTTTCAGCTCATAATTAAATTATATATCTACAAAATCACACATATTGTCGTATTAGGAAATTAAATTGTAAGTATAAATTATTTTGTAACTATTTTGTAATTAATTTGTAACTATATATACTAATATATTAAATTGTAACTATGGGTTCTATGGGTATTTTAGGGTGCTGTACGCACATACAGGAGGTGGAATACAGGATGTCTTTTCCAATTTCGGCATCAGAGGAGTAATTTAAGTTGTTACCTATTTTTGTAAATTAACTAATTATAATTGTAATATTCTTAATTTATATAATAAAGTTATTGTTATTATTATTTACATATTCTTTGTCCTAGAGTGTCTTGTCTGTATTTAAAATGACACGGAAATTGTTTGATGCAGGAGGCATATAACTTTGATGCAGTTGCATTTCGCTTCTGACGTAGTTCACAGTTCACTTAGTTCATTTATTGGCCGTAATATATGATGTTAAAGTCCAACTAAGAATATCGGGTCGGTCCAAAGGTGCAGTTAGTATTACATATAAAAAATAAAAAAAACTCTGCAGATACATAATTGAATCTAATATTGCAGTAAGCCACTTGCCTAAACCTGACTGATCTGACAAAATCAATCAATCAGATTTGGTCTAGCTCACAGTTGATGAGATTGGTCGGCTATAGTTACTGGTACACTGGTATTTATTTTTTTTTAATCTTCTCTTTGATGAAGGTTAGTAATACATATATTGTAATTAGTCAATCTGATCACGTTTCCTTTTACTTTGAACATCAATCAGTACGAGCTATGACTTTAAAATTTTGCATAACACTAAAAAGAAGTTATATTAAAATACTAATTTTAAAATAACTTTTTTTCGAAACGTAATTCACTCAAAAAATTTAAATTTAAATAATTATACTCGGTGTTTTTTTTTGCGTTTTAGTTATTGTATTTCTAAGTAGGTATGTTTTTAAACAAGTCTTGTAATTGTAGGCAGACAATGTGACGTTGTCTAATATTTCTGGACCTGAAAAGCATTAGGTCGGATGTATAAAAACTGTATAAAAACAGAAATAGCTAAATGCAATCAAAATATTTGAAAAAGTCGTCTGATCCGACTTTATGCATGACTGTTGCTCATGAGTAAAAAGGCACAAACATACAAGAGTTAATTTGCCGGAAAGAGAAAAAAGAGTGTAGCAACGTTATGGCGATAAGTGATTTTAGCTGGTTCTGCACATCCGACCTAATGCTTTTCAGGTCCAGATTTATTTATTTAATATACCATTTACATACCTTTTTTTTTATTATTTTGTATTGTTTGACATTTAGTTAGAGAAACGGTATGAAATAATGTATTTGGAATACCTGTTGCAAATATCTACATATTAGACAAGATATTGCTCAGATTTCACTCTGAAATAACATCACATACTAGGCTGTATTGAATTTTATCATATGGAAATTTAATGCTTGAAAAATTCACCAACACCATTTCGGGCACATGAGACTGATAAATTTTAAGCACGTTTCATTAAGATGAAGCAATAATATTATTTTACTTGAGTAAAGCAAAGGCAAAACCGAGGACTGACTTTAGTACTCTGGATGACTCGACGCATTGTTATTAATATTTTAGTATATATGTCGCATCATCTTTACGAAGATCGTTTGATTTAGTTTCTTTTATTTTAATTGCTAGTTACTCGATTGTAGAGAGAGCGTGATCATCGATACTTTTAATTGTATTAGAAGGGTGACACTGACTTTGACAGTTCGTTAACAAAAACCAAATTGCCGCCATTTTTCGATCGCCGAGGAGTAAAGACATCCGAAGACATCACGCTCATCTCGTT